TACAACAAGCAATCAAGAAGAGGCAATGGATTATCCAGTAGATGATCCAAATATTGCTGCCACAAGAGAGCCGGCTTAGCATACCCTACGCTTCAAGGTTTGTGGCTCTCAGGCCTTGCCTGGTCCTGGTATAGTCAACAACATTCCAGTAAAAAGGCTTTGTTCTCTTGTTTGTCTTGCTTGACCATAAGATTTATTGTGAAGATGAACAGATGTGCTCAGATGAGCAGATATCAAAGAAGAAACCTTGAGGCCTTTCATGCAAAGTGGTGCTGAGGTCCTCTTCTTTGCCTTAGTTACGGTAGCACAGGAACCAGTGAGGTACTTGCTCCTCCAGAGTCGGGATCCAAGCGGTAATTTTAAGGTGCTTAGGATTAAGCACTTTGTGCAGAATGCATGGAGGTTTCTTCTGTGTGGTCTGGTCATTTGAGCACATCTGTACATCTTCACAATAAATCTTTATGGCCAAGCAAGACAACTAAGAGAATGAAGCTCTTTCATGTAATTGAATTGTGTTGAATATATTAGGACCAGGCAAAGTCTAAAAACCGCCCACCTTGAAGGCTAGGGTATGGAAAGCCAGCTCCCTTGCACCAGCAAAGTCTCCCTTGTCTATGTTTAGAAATCAGACGCTTCTTCTCGATTGCGCATTGTATCTTTTGGATATAAAAGTCAATCTCTGTCCAGAGGTTTTTGCTTTCGTAATAGTCTCCCGAACAAAGCAAAGCTTCTGTTTTTGAAGTGGCGGTGAGGTCCTCTTCTTTGCCTTAGTTACTGTATCACAGGAACCAGTGAGGTTCTTGCTCCTCCAGATTAAGGATCCAAGACACAGGCTGATTCTCCAGGATCACATAGCTGTTTTTGAAATGGTGGCGAGGTCTTCTTTTTTGACTTGGTATCACAGGAACCGGTGAGGTTCTTGCTCCTCCAGGGTCAGGATCCAAGACACAGGGCATCCTTCTGGATCACGTAGCTGTTTTTGAAGTGGTGGTAAGGTCTTCTTCTTTGCCTGAGTTACAGTGTCACAGGAACCGGTGAGGTTCTTGCTCCTCCAGAGTCAGGATGCAAGACACAGGGAATCCTTGTGGATCACGTAGCTGTTTTTGAAGTGGTGGTGAGGTCCTCTTCTTTGCCTTAGTTACAGTATCACAGGAACCGGTGAGGTTTTTGCTCTTCCAGAGTCAGGATGCAAGACACAGGGCATCCTTGTGGATCACATAGCTCGCTCTGATTGGCAGGAAGAGGTATGATTATCAGCATTGACTTCAATTAAACTCTGACTTGGGCATTACCCTCAATCAGGAGAAGTAAAACTGTGCTGTACTTGGATCTCTTGGAAGTTATTCCAGTAAACGCTCACTGATTATCTTTCACAGATCTAATAGGAAGATGTTAAGGGGGATCGTCCCGATTGCATTCATCTCATATGACCCAGAAAACAGTAGTGTTATTGAATTGGCAATTATTTTATGGTGTACTGCGCTGTAAAAAAATACAAAACGTACAACAATGTGTCACGAGCAGATGTTTGCAGACACACAGAGCCCAGCTGCGGCTTCAGGAATGATTTGTAAATGTGTTGACCTTATTTGTTGGTTGAACGCACACAAATTAGCACCTGAGTTGCTGAACATTCTGTTTAATTATGCAGAATCGGTGCCATAGATATAATTACATATGCAGCAGTGGACATAAGAGTTACACTTAGTGTTTAAGCAAACCTGGCACCTTAAATACCCACTAAATTATTCCATCCAGGATTTGTGCAAGGTATTAGCACATAAGCAAGTGGATATCCTCAAAAGGAAATGTTAAGTGGAACCATTAGTGAGTAGTTAGCATCACCGCAACAGGAGAAACACTTCTTATCTTCAGGAACCAGCAGGCAAATATTGTAGACCATGTGGAACACCAGCTGACTGCACAACTTATGACTTGGTTACCTTGTTTACATTGTTTCTTCTTCCAATCCGAGTTCATACACTATATGTCCAAAATACACCTTGTTGGACATCCCATTCAAAAATCATGACCATTAATATAGAGCTGAACCCCCCCCCCGTCCCCCATATGGCCATTAATATTGAGTTGTCTACCCTTTGTGGCTATAGCATCCTCCACTCTTCTTTGAAGGCTTTCCATAAGATTTTGGAGGGTGTCTTTGGGAATCTTTGCCCGTATGCAAGGTCAGGTACTGATGTTGGATGAGAAGATGTGGGTCACCAGCTGTGTTCCAATTCATTCCAAAGGTGTTCAGTAGGGTTGAGGTCAAGACTCTGTGCAGGACACTCAAGTTCTTCCACACCAAACTGGTCAAACCATGTCTTTATAGATCTAGCTTTGTACACAGGAGCATCGTTTGTGGCTATAATACCCTCCACTCTTCTGAGAAGGCTTTCCACAAGATCTCGGAGGGTGTCTGTGAGAATCTATAGCCATTTGTGAGGTCAGGTACTGCTGTTGGATGAGAAGACCTGGCTCACATTGAGTGTTCTAATTCATCTCAAAGGTGTTCAGTAGAGTTGAGATCAGGCCTCTGTGCAGGACACTCGAGTTCCTCCACACCAAACTGGGCAAACCATGTCTTTATGGAGCTGACTTTGTACACAGGGGACAGTCATGGTGGAACAGAAAATGGCCTTCATCAAACTGTTACCACAAGGTTTTGAAGGGTGTCCTTCTTGTCCTATTTGTGAGGTCAGGTACTGATGTTGGATGAGAAGACCTGGCTCACAATTGGCCTTACAATTTATCCAAAAGGTGTTCAGTAGGGTTGGTGTCAGGACTCTCGAGTTCCTCCACACCAAGCTGGTCACACCATGTCTCTATGGAGCTGGCTTTGTACACAGGGGACAGTCATGATGGAACAGAAAAGGGTCTCCACCAAACTGTTACCACAAGGTTGAAAGAGCACAATTCTCTCCAATGTCTGTGTCATTAACAGTACCCATAAATATTGGTTACTTGGGTAAAATGCCTTTGAATGCTTTAGCATTAAAGTGAAATTGTGCCCAGATCATGCATAAGTATTAACATATTCTGAACAAGTGGTAAGAAAAAACACTTTCAAAAAGCCCTTATTCATCTCTGTACCTATAAGCATTGTGAAGAAACTCATTTTGAAAGGATACAGCACAAGCAACCTTTATGAGGACAGAATCTTGGCAGGCTGCCGGCCCCTCTAATAAACAAACAGCGGGTGATTCTAAGCTGTTAGGAACCAGCTAAAGCCAACTGTATGTTGTGGTCTTTGAGATTGAATAACATCACATTAAAAACAGCTAAAGAGGTCAGTGATGGCTTGTTTTAAAGCATGTTTAATGCTTGTTATAAATATGTGAATCATTTAGGGCTGTTACTGATTAAAATTTTCGTGTTCGATTAATCGAAATTTTTTTTAATCGATTATTTTCGATTAATTATATGTTAGCCGATGGAGCCACTTGGGGACATCGACGTCACCGGACAGCCCTAGAATCATTTAATATCCATAGGCACAGATGCATTACATTTAACAGTTACTTTGACCTTACGACAATAACCCCCAATGTTTCGATCATGATTGAGAACACAACTATCCAACCCTCCCCCCATGCCAAGGTGCTAGGTGTCATCCTTGACTCGGACCTCACCTTTCTTCCCCACATCCAATCACTATCCAAATCCTGCCGCCTTCACCTTCGTAACATCTCCAAAATACGCCCCTTCCTCACCAATGAAAGCGCAAAATGACTCATCCACTCACTTGTTATCTCTCATCTCGACTATTGTAACTCCCTCCTCATAAGCCTTCCACTACACAGGCTCCTCCACCTTCAGTCTATCATGAATGCAGCTGCCAGACATATCCACCTGACCAACCGCTCAGTGTATGCAACCCCCCTCTGCCAATCCCTGCACTGGCTTCCAATCGCCTAAAAGATAAAATTCAAATTATTAACAACCACTTACAAAGCCATCCACAACTCTGACCCAGGTTACATCTCCAACCTTGTCTCAAGGTATCACCCTAACCGTTCCCTATGCTCCGCCCAAGACCTCCTGCTCTCTAGCTCCCTTGTCAACTCATCCCATGCTCGCCTTCAGGACTTCTCTAGAGTCTCTCCAATTCTTTGGAACTCCTTACCCCAACCTGTCCATCTATCTCCTACTCTGACTACCTTTCGCGATGACTAAAGACTCATCTCTTCAGGGAAGCCTATCCCACCTCAACCTAACCACTCAACCATCACGTTCTCAAACAATTCATCCCCACACAGCTACCTCCTCATGTATCACTTCCCCCTCCCTTTTAGATTGTAAGCCCTCAGGGGCAGGGCCCTCCTTACCATCTTGTCTTGAATTGTATTGTGATTGTAATGTCTTCCTTATATTGTAAAGCACTGCACAAACTGTTGGCGCTCTATAAATCCTGTATAATAATAATAAGGAAGGCTGTCCATGCTTTTGAACATTCATGTGATTGTCGAGTGTGTTTATCAGTGAAGGATTTTGGTGAAATTGAGAACAAAATATCTTTCAACCCTGGAAAAAAAAAGCATTCAGCTTAAGCAGCTGTGCAATTTTCCCTCTAGTGAGTAAAAGAAACAATAAATGTGACCTTGTCGTAGCTCGAGCTTCCTGACCACCATCCGGGAGTAGCACTGCAGTGTCACCAATGTCCGGCGTACTGGATAGGTGTAGCTAACAAATTACATAGCACTTTAAGGATTATCTTATCAAGCGATATCCGTAAAAGAAGACCGTAGATACTTGAGATGACTGGAAATATGAAGTGTGCAGTTAAAAACAACGTATCCGGAAAACAGCCGGCGCCCGCTGTTGCCCAAGCAGTGAACGCATCTGATAGCCTGATCATTTCCAAACCAGCTCAGTCAGGAATTCAGGAATAGCGGCAACGTAATGTGCTTGACTGGAGTTCAGATTTAAATTGATATCATTGTTATAATAGTCCAGAAAATATTATATTAACCCCACTTTCTCTGTGTCCCCTTTTACAGGTCTTTATAGCTCCATGGACAGCTGGATGATCGTGCCCAACATCAAGCAGAACCATTACACTGTGCATGGGCTTCAGAGTGGAACTCGTTACATCTTTTTAGTCAAAGCAATCAACCAGGCTGGGAGCAGACACAGTGATCCCGCAAGACTCAAGACTAACAGTGAGTACACGAGGCTATACTTATTAATTGTGCTTAACCTCCTCATGACCAGAACCCATTTATGCCTGTATGTCCAGGCTAAATGTAGCAGCTTCAGTTTCTTGGCGATAACCCGAAGGCTAATTTGCACAACTTGTTGTTAAGTCGTTATTTTCTAGGATGTATACTATACGGCCAAAGGTTTGTGGATACCTGACCATCAGACATATACAAGCCTTTTGGAGATACCATTCCAAAACCATGGCCATTAATATGGAGTTAGACCTCCTTCGTGGCTGCGCTATCCCTCCAGTTCCTCCACACCAAGCTGGTCATGTCTTGATGGAGCTGACTTTGTGCACCTAAACTAAAAAATTCCTATGGAACACCTATGTTCCATAAGGTGTTCCTAAGTTCCGTTGAGGTTGGGGCTCTGGTGTGGGGGAACTTCAATTTTCTTCACAGTCTGGTCACACCATGTCTTTATGGAGCTAGCTTTGTGCACAGGGGACAGTCATGGTGGAACAGAAAAGGGTCTTCGCCAAATTGTTACCACAAGGCTGGAGGAGCACAATTGTCTACAATGTCTTTGTATGATGGAGTATTACCAGGACCCTTAAATAAAGACACCTGAATAATTTTTAAAGGATGTCCACCATTTAGTCAGCTGTAATGGTTAGGTGTCCACAAACCTGGTCATATAGTGTAATTTAGCAGTCAGTGTCCTCAATCAGATTATATCACCTCCAGACAACCTCTGCTCCCCTCTTAGCTGTCCATTTAGAAATGGCTTCTGCTGTCCTGTTCCGCTTCTCAAGGCCCTTCTCTGTTCCACCATAACCGTCCCCAGTGTAAAAAGCCAGCTCCATAAAGACATGGTGTGTCCAGTTTGGTGTGGAGGAACTCGAGTGTCCTGCACAGAGCCCTGACCTCGTCCCTTCTGAACACCTTTGGGATAATTTGGCATGGTGGATTGTGAGTCAGGTCTTCTCAACCAACACCAGTTTCTGACCTCAACCCTATGACCACCTTTGAGATGAATTGGAATGCAGATTGTGAGCCAGGTCTTCTCATCCAACATCAGTACCTGACCTCACAAATTCCTGCAGGCACTCTACAAAATCTTGTGGAAAGCCTTCCCAGAAGAGTGGAGGATGTTATAGCCTCAAAGGTAGAACAGACTCCATATTAATGGCCATGTTGGGGGGAACAACTCTATATTAATGTCCCTGTTGGGGTAGGACAACTCTATATTAATGGCCACCCTACTGGACACGTTTGACCAGTTTGGTCTTCAGGAACATGAGTGTGGTGTACAAAGCCCCTGACCTCCATCCTACTGAACACCTTTTGGATGAATTGGAAGGCCAATTGTGGAGGGAAGAGTGGAGGGTATTATAGCCACAAATGGTGCTCCTGTGTACAAAGCCAGCTCCATAAAGACATGGTTTGTCCAGGTTGGGGTGGAGGAACTTGAGTGTCCTGCACAGAGCCCTGATCTCAACCGTACTGAACACGTTTGGGATGCATTGGAACACAGCTGGTGACCCACATCTTCTCATCCACCATCAGCACCTGACCTCACAAATGGAACAAATTCCTGTTGCCACAAAAGACCTCCCCAAAAGAGTGGGGGCTGTGAGAGCCATGGGAAGGGGCCAACTCTTTAATAACACCCATGGTTTTGGAATTGAATGTCCAACAAGCTCATATAGGTGTGATGGTCAGGTGTAACTAACGTTAAACCATATGGTTTATGTGGGTGAGTTCAGGAAACTGGAGAAGGCCTAGTGCTTCCAAAATCAGAGTCAATTTCGGGCAGCAGATAGGCCCGGTACATTGCAGGTATTCATAAATAAAGAAACATGAGTTCCCAATCACATCTCATGGTTTCATTTTTAATTTTGACGGCCATACTCTAAAATTTTGTCTTCAGAAGCTCTCTTCTACATCCTTCTGAATGAACCATGGGTTAAATCATCTTCCAATGTCGGCAGAAGGGAATAAAGAGGAAATCGGAATTGAGCATCTTGCACGTACTGTGCCAGAGAGAGAGAAAAAAACCCCCCGCTCTCCTTCTATTAAACCGTACATTTCCATCCCCCGGTAAGAGGAAGCAGCTATTCCATAAGACTTTCGGAATTAAATCGAAACCTCATACTGCTGCTTTCTTTGTAAGCCTCGCTTCCTTTCTTAGGAAAATAATAGTGTTTTGTTTCACCGTGGTTCACCACATGCTGCCAGCCATTTTCACACCTATTTATAAAGCACGGAAGGTGCGTATGTTGAAGCCGGAGTCCGACCAAAAAACATGGAAGAAAACCTTACCGTAGTAAATTGAAGCCTCAGCTAGTGTAATTATCGTAGGGACGAACTGAGTCATTACGGCTACATTCATTTCACCACGAAATTATCGATGTTGCCACTGGAGAAATTTTACCAAATTGGAGACTCTCAATTTAGCTCCTGTAGCTACTTTGTGAAATTGGCTTGAAAAAAATGTATCTACTCTACTATTGTTTTCATTTAGAGGGAGTTTTTTTTTTGTGTATTTAGGGTAGTTGAGTTGCTTTTGTTTAATATTTTTTGTATTAGTTAGACTTTTTTTATGTGTATTTGATTATTTGTCACTGTTTTTTCTCTTTATGAAAAAAAAATGAAAAATGTTGATGAGGGGGACGTCTTTTGGTACGCTAAGAACAGATCCAGGATAGGTGAAAGCAGCTTCTGATACCCTCAGGTGCCATTAAAAGCCCATTATGCCCTTACAAACCACCAAAAACCACCTTCAAGGGACTTTGTTACGTAATGCAAGTACATGTAAAGTACAAGAATATGTCCGGTATAGGTGAAAGGAGCTTCCATGACCCTTAGGTGCTATTAAAAGCCCTTGGCATCCTTAGAAACCACCTTAAAGAGATCTCGTTACATAAGTACAATCTCTGAGTAAAGCACATATGTGTAAAGAAGAGACTGAATACTTCCCTCTTCCGCTGCCCATGTCGTGAAGTCCACTGTGAAATGAACATTTTTGGGAGTCTTGATCTCTTTGGTCCCCACAGCTCTTGCTGGTTCCTTCTACTTATCTCACCCTTTATGCAGAAGGGAGTAGCTACATGGAGGTCAGCAGGGAGAACCAGTAATAGTTTTGAGGGATAAAAGCGATGCTACCGGAAGTATTGGTTTCCCAGCGGACAATGGGGATGATTTGCCAGCATCGGAGTGGCATTTTTGGGCAGCAGGAGAGGAAACATTTAGTCTCTTCCTTATATGTGTTTTACTCACAGATTTTACTTATGTGACAGGTTCTCTTTGGTTTTACCTTCTTCTTGACCCCAGTGCAATTCGAAAGCCTATCCTTCCTCACTCATACCACCCTGCCCATCCTTACCCACTCATGCCACCATGCTTATCCTGCCCCACTCATACCACCCTACCCATCCTTCTACACTCGCACCACCCTGCTCATCCTTCCACACTCGTACCACCCTGCCCATCTTTCCACACTCCTAGCACCCTGCCCATCCTTCCTCACTCATAACACCCTGCCCATCTTTCCACACTCCTAGCACCCTGCCCATCCTTCCACACTCATAGCACCCTGCCCATCCTTCCACACTCGCACCACCCTGCTCATCCTTTCACACTCGTACCACCCTGCCCATCCTTCCTCACTCATAACACACTGCCCATCTTTCCACGCTCCTACACCCTGCCCATCCTTCCACACTTATAGCATCCTGCTCGTCCTTCAACACCCGTACCACCCTGCCCATCCTTCCCTTTTCATAGCACCCTGCCCATCCTTCCCTTTTCATAGCACCCTGCCCATCCTTCCCTTTTCATAGAACCCTGCCCATACTTCCCCTTTCATACCACCCTGCCCATACTTCCCCTTTCAACCACCCTGCCCATCCTTCCCCTTTCATACCACCTTACCCATTCTTCCCCACTCATACCACCCTGCTCATCCTTCCCCTTTCATAGCACCCTGCCCATCCTTCCCCACTCATACCACCCTGCCCATCCTTCCCCACTCATACCACCCTGCCCTTCTTTCCCCACTCATACCATCTTCCCATCCTTCCCCACTCATACCATCCTGCCCATCCTTCCCCACTAATACCATCCTGCCCATCCTTCCCCACTCATACCATCCTGCCCTTCCTTCCCCACTCATACCATCCTGCCCTTCCTTCCCCACTCATACCATCCTGCCCTTCCTTCCCCACTCATACCATCCTGCCCATCCTTCCCCACTCATACCATCTTGCCCATCCTTCCCCACTCATACCACCCTTTTGGTTTTGGTTTTAGCTTCCCCTTGACCCCAGTGCATTTCAAACACAGATTGCAAAAAAAAATGATATACACTATATGATTCTATATAAACAGCGTAGCACTACACTGTGTATATGGAGTCATTTGTTGCAAAGTATATATTGCTTAGTGTCAGCTGCTGCTCTAAAAGGTAGAAAAGCACAGACATTTTAAACCTTTTGTCTAGTCTAGTGTATATTATAACCCTCCCTCGCTCTATCCAAATCTTTCCATTGCCTTTATTATATATTTATATATTGCTAGTGCTCCAGTATATATTTTGTTTTAGTGAGCTCATTCAACCAATGAATAACTAGAAGGGGCCTATAAGGGCCTCTGCTGCCATAAAACTCAACCTGCTAGCAATTTTTATAAGAAAAAAACATAAATTTGCCCCCGTTCTGAGTAGGCCGCGTTGCAGTTTCTAAAATAGCTTCCTACAAAAGCCCCAACACTCAATAAGAATCTCAGATCAGCAGCCTGACAGGTCGAGTATAACGTGCCTAGGAGCATGGAAGAGCAAAGCTCATCGATCCCTCTATAGGTCTGCAGTGAATGGATTCGTTGGGTCTGTTGCATGTTATTTATTAAGTTCTACGGGGGGTGAAGCCGTTCCTTATAGGAAGCCGCTTCTCCGTCCGCGAGAACACGCTCATGTAATAGGTTTTGTTGAGGTTCCTGTAAATAGACCGCAGGCTTGATTTATTTCTCAATCCTCTAACTGCCACTGTCAAGGGCAGGCTGGTATGATGCATGGGGTGATAAGACGAGCCTTCAAGACTCGCTGTATCACTGTCATCCCCGCGCTATACCGTAATGTACATGAAGCCCCACTGACGTAACAGGAACGGCGACAAGAAAATTGTTACAATGTTATAAGAATGGCTTCCGAAAAAAAATCCAACATCTGGATTTCCTTTATTGCCGTAAGTAGATTTTTTTTCCCCAAAAAAATGTAACCGCTTAGGAAAGTCGAGCTACAGGCAGATATAAAGGACGGGAAGGATTTTTTTTTATGCAAGCGGTGTATGTATCTGAATATGTCCTGTATCAGCCACCGTACGGTAGACTGTAGGAAGGAGAAGCAGTACGATGAGTCAATCAGTGGTGCTGCAGTGCTAAAAATGGGTATACTGATAGTAGGAGACAGCAGAGGGATGAGCTCATCAGGCTGCTGCTTCTCATTTCACTGTCCAATTAGAGGATGAGGTGGGTCGAGTACAACCTATGCTCACAGGACACGGGTTGAATGACGCCAGACGCCTAGTGGACGAAAATAATCAAGTGTTACTGAATTGCACGAGAGAAAAATGAAGGCCTTCTCCTTACCAGGCAGGACTGTGCTGTGTGGCAGAGCTATGTAAATCTTAGAACTGGATGACCAGAAAATGACTCAGCTTTGAAGCGGATGTGTTTGCACTTCTGTCCATCCGTTCCTATGATCACACAGCTCTACCAAACAGCAGAGCTAAGACCCCCTTACTGTTAAGGGCTTCTCTCCACCCCCAACTTATGACTGGACAGTGAAAGAGCAGCAGCAGCAGCAGACTGGAGAGACCATTCCCACGCTTACTCTGCGCTCTCCTACCATCAGCATGTCCCTTGTAAACACATTTGGATTCAGCACACCTTTCCAATGCCGCCCCTCCCTCTGTCATTCTGCTGCATGAGAGAGGGAGGGGTTTGGAGGATGGGATTGGAAGATGGTAATACCAAGTCAAATTCAGGTATTTATACTAGAACCTACATGTGTCGCCTTCCGTGAGACTGGTCAATGCAATGATTTATATGCATGTTGTTCCTCATTGCAGGTCAACCATTCAAACTGGATCCAAAATTTGCTCACAAGAAGCTAAAGATATCAAACGACGGAATGCAGATGGAAAAAGAAGAGAGTTCCCTGAAGAAGAGCCACACGCCTGAGCGCTTCAGTGGGACGGGCTGCTACGGGGCAACGGGGAATGTCTTCATTGACAGCGGATGTCATTACTGGGAAGTGGCCGTTGGAAATTCTACTTGGTAAGTGGAACGGGCAGTACCATGGGGACCATGTATTGTTCCTAATACCTGCTAAGTGGACCGGCCAGTACCATGGGGACCTTTGTATTGTTCCTCATACCTGATAAGTGGACCAGGCAGTACCATGGGGGCCTTGTAGTGTTCTTCATACCTGGTAATGGGACCAGGCAGTACCATGGGGACCTTGTAGTGTTCTTCATACCTGATAAGTGGACCAGGCAGTACCTTGGGGACCTTGTAGTGTTCTTCATACCCATTAAATGGACCGGGCAGTACTACGGGGACCTTGTAGTGATTTTCACACTTGGTAAGTGGACCAGACAGTACCATGGGGGCCTTGTAGTGTTCTTCATAGTGTTCTTACATTGGTAGTCAGTGGAGAAGGGCGCCCCTTCTTTTAGTGGACAGTGTGAGAAGTGCCCCTTTACATTGCTGGTCAGTGGATAATAGCACCCTTACATTGGTGCTAAGTGGAGAAGGGCCTGTTGACATTGGTGGTCAGTGGAGAAGGTCCCCCTTACATTGGTGGTCAGTGGAGAAGGTCCCCCTTACATTGGTGGTCAGTGGAGACAAGCGCGCTGACATTGATGGTCAGTGGGAGAGGGGTCCTCTTACATTGGTGGTCATTGGAGGGTTCCCCTTTCATTGGTGGTCAGTGGGAGACCTGTCCCCTTTCATTGGTGGTCAGTGGAAGAATTGTCCCCTTACAATATTGGTCAGTGGAGTATGGCCCCCTTACATTAGTGGAGATGGGACCCTTTCTTTGGTTGTCAGTGGGAGAAGTGTTCACTAACATTGGTGGTCAGTAGAGAAGGGCCCCTCTTACATTGGTTGCCAGTGGGGGGAAAAACAAACCCTTTTTATTGATGGGCATCTTTGCAATGGTGGTACGTGAGTAAGGGTCCCCTTACATTGGTGGTCAGTGGGTAAGGGTCCTCTTAGGTTGGTAATCAGTGGAAAGGGGCCCCTTTATATTTGTGGTCAGTTGGAAAAATGCCCACTTACATTGGTGATCCGTGGAGAAGGGCCTCATTGATGGTCATTTAAGGCAGAAGATCTGCAACTGGTCTCTTCTGCGTGAACTCCTAGCAACCTCTAGAGGAGCCCCGGAGTTCAGAAGCTTTGATTTACACACCGGCAGCTGTAGCAATTCACAACCATTCCTGACTTGTCATTTGACAGCTGGAGTTTGCCAGCAATAAGGAAAAAATGTTTTGCCTCGCTGTGCCGTGAGCGATTTCTATTATATTTTCGGCCGTTTGATTGAACACGAGGAACAGAAATTCATAATGGGAATTGATGGTCACCCTGAAGCTCATCTTCAAACGTTATAACTGATTGTTGGATATTATCACCAATTGGAGGAGATTTGGTTCTTTATCAGGATGCGGCTTCTCACCGCCATCTCTACGATGAAAATATGAATTCTTGTATTACAAAACTCTTCCCGTGTATTCCACATAAACAGGGGTATTCCGGGGCATTGCTTTTTCCAGACCAGATGTCTTCTTATTTTTAAACATAAGCATTACCATACCGAATGAGTGCTGATCTCAGCTATTTTTAGTTTTCGGCAATGAGCATATGTTGTAGAAAATATGACTGCACTGGCAGATGTTGCCATTTCCTTTTTTTTTGTTTTTTGTTTTTTTTTAATGGTAAATCCCAATCTGTGCATTACAAACAGTTGTGAAAAAAATGACAATTTAAGGTGAATGTAAACCCGAACGGAATGCCATTTATTTGGCTCGGTGCACCGTGTATCATAAACAATTGCCATTCTGTTTTAAAGGAGAACTATGAGGTGAGTGATTTTCACTCAGCCTCATAATCTGAGCCGACCTGTGACAATGAGACTGTCACAGGTCGGCTCAGTAGATCGGGAGGTGAGCGAACACATACCGTCGCTCGCTCACTTCTCGATCTATCCCTGCAGAGAGCTGTGACTGTCATTCACGGCTCCCGGCAGGGATTCCCCCCCGCTCCGATCCTCCAGCGCTGACTTGCGAAACGGACGGGGGGGGGGGGGGGGG